GCTGTAAACTTTATGGAAGTAGATTACTCCATCTTTTTCCTGAGGATTGGCTGGTTGGTTCAAACCATTAATCTTTCAGTTAGCAGCTGAGTGCTTAACCACTGCGCCACCAGGGCTCCTTAGCTCATCCTAACACCCTGATTTTTAGCCTGTGCAGATCCTGGGCTTAGATTTTCAATTCTTGGCCAACCTTTGAAAACAAAAACAAAAAACAAAAAAACCCTGATATACCTAGTAACTTCTCAATGCATCCAAATTAACTGATTTGACTGAATTCAAATTTTTTTATCTCTACTGCCATCCCTTCACTTTCTAGCAATCCTCACTCTCTGTGTGTAGATCATGCTTCATCATGAAGAAAGCCAGGAGGATGACCCAGTAAGGGGAGTTGATATAGACAATCTACAGGGTATCACATTGTAATGGTAAGCAGCTGTGCATTATGGGAAGAGGATTTTGTTATATTGGGCTTTGTTGGCAGGAGAAAGCATCTCAGAGGATGTAACTCTTGCCGTTTTTTGCTATTTTTTTTTCTCCTCAGCTTTAATCTTGGCCTCAGATTCTTCTGCAACAAGTACGGGTTCTTTGCCAGCTTTTCATTCTAAACGTGGCCCTACTACCAATTCACCACTTTTCTCTCTCCCATAGAGCGCAAAGGTGCCAGTAACATATGCATGAAAATATCTTGCTAGCGCCATAAACTCAAGTCTTTCCTTTCCTCAAAAAGAATTTGATATCTGGTCTGTGATTTTATTTATTTTTTTGGTCTGCGATTTTAAATGGGAGATTTTGAATCCATTCAAATATGCTCATTTTCGCTCCATTTAAATTCTATTATTCTGGTTTCATAATCTTTCTTTTTCTTTAGTTTGTAGGCAAACTTTTACGACCCTAATCTTTGGGGTCGTCTCTGATGGCCATAGCCACTGACCTTACCAAGAATATAAGCAAGAAAGGGAAGCTGTGATCACCCTTTAAAGCTCTGGCTGCTGGTTCTCCCCTCTCCATGATCACCCAAGTCCTCTGGAAAGGGCAGGAAGGGGAGTCTTCTTGAAAGCGCAAACAGAAGAGAACTTGTCTGGGGCAGACTCATAATTTTGAGAGTCTCCATGACTCACTGGTTGATAATGTTTTAGACATACTGGGTAAATCTGCCTTCTATTCTTTGGAACATTGCCCCCGCACAGCAGCATGCAACTCTATTCAGGAGCCCTCAAGACACGAGAGGGAAAGGCTTCTGCAACTATAATACAAAGAAGTATTGAATTTTCCTGAACAAGAGCGAGACCTTTGCCTAGCAAGCTAATGCAATATTGATCTGAGCAAGAGCGGAAGAAGTACTCTTATCCTTCTTGTGTGTGTGCTCATTTGTGTATTTACATGAACACAGCTATTGGATTTCCTATTTCCATTATTGTGGACCCAAAGGCCCAGAAGATGAATGAAAAATGACACAGAAATAGAAGTATAACTCACATATTCTGAAAACTTCAAGCAAGTGAAATATGCCAAGTGATAACTTGGGGGAGAGTAGAACAATAATGGCCATATCTTCTTAGGTGTGGAGGTAACAGGATTTATGCTGTTTAAAAAATACCTGCAACTGGACGTGGTGTTACCACAGTCTTGGTATTTTCCTATGAATCTCTCTAGTAATTACAGTCCCTGTCACTTTTAATGTGGAAAAAAAAAAAAAAAGCAATGATCTACTATAAAAGGTACTTTAAAATGAGGTCTTTTGACTAAATAAACAAAAAAGTGAATCATTTCAAAGATCCAAGATAAATCATGTATACTGTTTACAAATTAATAATCATTTTGGTGGAGGAAATTTGGAGGACTAAATATAAACTTTGCTACTTTTCCCTCAGGAAATTTTTTTTTTTTGCTTATTTCTATCTATCCCTGTGGTTTTAAAAGTTTAATTTTAATATAAACGTAAACGAAGAAAACAAACAGAGCTCAATCTAGCTCTCATGAAACTTCTTCCTAAAAGCATTTCCAATTTCTGGAACGTAGATAAGACTGCAGTTCAAGCCCCGTGTCCAGCCTAGACGAGGCTGATGTCATCAGCCCTGATGTGGTGTGAGCTGAGCATTCATGTTTGGCTCCATAACTCAGTGTGAGCACTGTGGTATCAATCAGGGCAGCAGTGCTTAGCTCACGGCTCTCAAAGCACATGTAAACTTCCACAAATTATTTCAGAGTTGCTCCTTGAGAACACATAGATCTTCCAAGAAAGTGAAGGATGGAGATGTGTGATTCACAACATGCATGCCTTGTATTTTGAGTTTTGCAGTTAACTGCTTTTCTTCAAAGTCAGTCTGAATCAATGGGTAGCTTTCAGTTACTTAGTCATTTAATTCAACGTTTATGATAAAATGCAACATAAAATCACTTGATGCTTAAAAGCCTTCAGCACCCTCTGGTTGTTTTTGGAAATGATATCAAAGACTAAAAGCAATTTCTCTGGCAAAAGAACAGTATGCACTGAACTACTATGACAAAAATATTCCTAGTGCCATTGACAAAAAATCAGGGGAATGCAGTCTCTTATTTCTCCTGAAAAAGAGCTGTTTTGCTGGTTTAGGCTGGATGAGGCCAGGTAAATATTAACAAATACATAAACACATTTTTCATATCCCAAAGCCAGCTTTCCCTGGGAATAAGTCAAACGCACATGGGTGAATTGCCAGGCTGATAACTCTTATTGTTAATTGTTCCTCTTTTCAACTCAGTGATTTTCTAGAACCAGAAAATTACTACTTTGAAAAACCCTTGACACTAATAACAATGTGCTTCTTTCTGAAAGTATTCTAAATAAGTTGTTTCATTGGACCTCCTTTTCAGATGTCATTTTAAATGAAAGTTCTAGATAAGAAGGCTGAGAATTTGGGTTGTGAACAAATAAACCCATTATTAAATGTTTCAACTATTGTTACAACATTATGATAACATTGTTTTCCTAATTATTGGACTGAATACTGAGAAGCCAATCAGCATTCTGTTTGGGTTAATCTTATTACTTAATGAAGGAGTTTGGATAAGATCATCATAACTCTATTTATATGGTAAAAGAGCAAAGAAAAAGCTAAACAACTCACTCATTTACTCTAATGACAATATAAGCTTTCTCTAAACCCACATTTTCTCCAGTGATGTTCACTGTTGAAGAACATTCCTAAATTGAATTACACTGATAATTTTAAGGTCAATTGAAAGACTAAGGCAATGTCTTTCAGGTTGTACTTGCTATTCATTTACAATTTATTTAAATATTCTTTCCTCCAACTTGATAATAATATATGGCTCTATTTTATCGATAGTGATATATCTTTAACTGTATGACTCCTCAGAACTTTCAACCTACCCTTTCTAATCTGTGTAGCATGTACTCTCTAGAGAAATCTTAATATTAAACCAGACTAAACACACGACAAGCAATGCAGCTGCAACAAATTATTTGATATTATCTCCCTCTGTTCAGAATTTGAGTGTGTATTTTTGCCGTTCACCTTCTAATTCATAAGGATTGAATGGAAAACTTTCATTTAGATATCCATATGGCTACCTTCTCCATCTCCTTTAAATCTTTCCTCAAATGTCACTTTCTTAATAAGGTCTACCTTGAGCAAGACATTTAAAATTGCAACCCATACATCTGCCCTCCTGACCCTTTATCCTTCTCATTCCTTCACACTGCTTTAGTTTCTTTCCTTCGTTCCTTCATTTTTACTTCCTTCCTTCTTTCCTCTTCCCTCCCTCCCATCTTTCTTTTTGCTTATATCATTTCTCAAGGAGTCACCGTGAGTCAGAATGGACTTGATGACAACTAAAACAGCAACATTCCATATACATAATTCACTTATTTTTAATGTGCAATGTTTATTGTCTGATTGCTCCTGGCAGAATATACACTCTATGAGGGCAAGCCTTTTAGATTGCTCTGTTTGCCAAGTGCCAAGAACACTGCCCGGTACCTGGTAGGTGCTCAATAAATATTTTTTCAATGTATGAGTGAATTTAGATGATAGGATCAATTAGTATAAATCATATATTAAGGTGACTGAGATTGCTGAGGACAAAAATCCCCTAGAGGGCAGACAGAAGATCTGTCTAAATTAGAATTGCTCAAACATTCTCATTCCTTTTCTAAATGTCTCACTTTTTTTTTTTTTTTTGGTAGCATAATGGATGCACATTCACTCTTAAAATTTTATCAAGTACTTAATCTCTCTGGCCCTTAGTCTCTGCATTTGTAAAAATGAGGGGATTGATTTAACTGATCTCAAAGTTCTCAATCTCTGATAGTCTATGATTTAATGACAGTAGGCAGCTGACTAGGAATGAAGGTCTGACAATCTCCTTCTGAAAATCAGCCAATGAAGCCCTGTGGAGCACAATGGTCCATCTACAGCTGATCATGGGGATGGTGTCATTCTGGGCATGGAATCCAGGGCTGACTCGACGGCAGGTAATAACAAAAACAGTCACAACAATAAGGAGATCAGTGAAATTAGCACACTATTTTAGAGGGGAAAACTGTTCTGGTCTCAAGTCTATCTCTGAAGCAGCTAGGGGACCTTGTATAATCTTTCATAATCTCAGCTTTCTTATCAAATGAAGGAATTGGACTAGAGAATTGCAAAGGTCATTTTGAACTCAAATATTTCATCGCTGCTCTGTATAAAAAGCATTGCTGCTTTGCTTTGCCTCCTCCTCCTCCCCCCTTGAGCCATTCTTTTCAAAACCATGTATGTATCACAACATTGGTAAATGAATCCTGGTGTCCCTCTCCCCAGTCTTTCTCTTCTCGGGATGTTTCCTGTCGCTCTTACCGTCGGGAAATCCATCCCAGATTTCTAGCCGATCATAACGACAGAACATCCCCCCTGGAGGATTGGAGTCTGGTTCCAGGTCAAAGCTTTCAAATTCCAGGAGAATCTCTGACATCTTTGGCGCAAAGATAATATAAGTGCATTCCAGGCTGTTGGGATATTTTTCGGGGAATCCGGGGGACTTTATGACTCCACTAGGTGTTGTGTAGTTCTGGGAACACTCAGGACCTACAAGTGAAAGAGAATAAGGAGTAAAGTGACAATCCCACTCATATGGCTTCACCAAGAAATAACCTGGGCAAAGACAACTTTCTAATAAAAGCCTACCATTTTAATTACTCAGCCTCTTCCTATTAGTGATAGGTATGGAAAGTCAACTTGAGATTTATTGTGTTCACCTTCGTTTTCCATTTGTGTGGAGCAATTTAAAAACTTCTGCTATTGCCGAAAGAAAAGAAATGACAAATGTAAAATCATGTGGGAACAATGAATGAGTAAGCTGCAGAAATCTCGACAGAGCCCTAGAGAAATAATTATAGCCCCTTCAAGCTTAAATCTTTAAATCTTAAGGCTGACAGCTCTTTATTGGTGAAATAGAACATTTGTAAAAGTGAGAGAGTGAATTCAGTGGAGGGAGTTTGGGTTTCAGATTCCTACACCAGTGACTCAGTAACTCTGCCAGATGTGACCTATGCCTCTTTGACAAACTAAACGTGAAAGGTAATTCGTACATGGACCCAGGGTGAGTGACTCATTCTGAGTGCTGTTGACACAGGTGTGCTGGTAAAGTGCGGCTGTTAGTGAAGGCCTGATAAACTGTGATTACAGGTCGTGTTGCTAGAAGTCGCCTAATATCATTGTTGACATCCTAACCTTCCCCAAAGTATCAGATACTGTATTGTATGCCATTCTAGATTGTTTATTATGGAAACGTTGGCAATAAGGGTAATATGTGTGTGTGTGTGTATGTGTATTTATAATGTGTAATTTTAATGACTGTTCAGTGTTATCAAGACTTTACAAATTATGGTGGTTTGTAATTTAAAATTGGTCAAGGGCATACACATATAATGCAAGTTGACCTTCTGACTGTATGAATGACCACAGTTTCAACTGATGGTATCCAGTGCTGAATGGGGAATTCACTACATGACTGAAAATGTCACATCTATCTGGACATAAACATACCAACTCCAGACCACCACCACCACCACTGCCAGGACTCTAAGATAACTAAATTTAAGGATCTGTGTGAATCAGAGATGACTTGACCCTTTTGAATCTCAGGATCAAACTTGGAGGTGTTCAATTAAACAGTTCTTTTCCTTAGTCATTAAACTGTGGATTTGCCCATTTTGGTGACTCCTTTTTGTCTCACTGCCATGTGCAAGCAGAAGGGCACTCTACAATGGCATGCATGGAGTCAACCCTAAAGAAGGTAGTTGGGTGAAATTTTTCTTAACTACATGTTCTCCAAAAGCGCCAAGCAACTAGAAACAACTTATTAGGCATCAATACAGATTAAATTTAACCAGCCAGGTCTCTATTTTTAGTGGCTCAGGTCAGGAAGAGGAATCTCCATTTTAAGCATCTGGCAGCCAATTGAGAAGGCAAATCAATTGTCTTCTCTCTGTGGGCATATTAGATAGCCATGGCATTGAGGAGACTCAAAGAATACTTATTATATGGGCACAATAAGCCTGGTTCACAGAGGCCTGATTTGCTTAAATTAACTCCCCAAACCTTCTTGAACAGGCTCACCCTTCACCATGACTGCCTCAAATACTTATCTGCTTGATTCTGGTTAAAAAATTATCGGCATGTTTCATTTTGCCACGTCAATTCCAGTTAAAGAGATTCTGGAATGTGCTGTACAGTGTATAATCTGTTTCTAAGCTACTCTGGTGGCTTCTGACAGGACACTATGTCAATTTAAGTCATCAAGTCCCAAAGAAAATACAGGACACTGATAACCCTTTGGAATTTTATTTCCAAAATGTGGGAATTAGTGACACTGGAGCCTCCAAACCTCTTCCCAGAGGGTGTCGGGGGAGATGCTTGGGCTGGGTCCTTGTAAGGCAAAGCAAACAACAGAGTTTAATGCAGGTAATAGTAATATTGTCACCTCTTAAAAAGATAACTCTAGGTGAGATTAAGACTTAATAAGAGAGTTAGGAAGAATCTTGATCAAAAGGGAGAAAATACAGAACAGAATTTAAAATTCTCATGGACTCCAGACTTTCTAGAACCATGGAGGCTGAAAGAACCCCTGAAACTATCGCCCAGAGATAATCTTTAAACCTTAAACCAAAAATATCCCCTGAAGTCTTCTTAAAACCAAACAATAATTTAGCTTAACTAGTAAAAATGTCTGCCTTGAGCATTATGCTTTTAAAAACTATTGATATGGGATCAGGTTGATAACAGCAACTGAAAAGATTAGATAGGAGCTTTAGTGGGCAGTGAGTTGACATTAATGGAGGAGGAACAACTCAAAAAAGGACGGTGCAAATGGTTGCACAACTGGAAGAATGTAATCAATGCCTGAAATGTGTATGTAGAAACAGCTGAATTGGTGTATGTTTTGCTGTGTATATTTGTATATTCTCTACAACAAATAAATAAAAATTGTAAAAAAGACTTAATAAGGGGAATTTTAAGAGCATAATTTCAAATCAGTGAATTTCAAGGCTTTCACTGTGCCCTTGTCATGCCAAATACTTTCAGAAGCTAGGTCAGGTTTTCTAATATATTTTGATAAAACTTGGGGAAGATCCATGAGGTAATGGAAATAACTGGGCTGAGCATCAGGAGATCTGAGTTCTAGCCCCACCTTTACCACCAACCTCCTGTGTAACCTTGCAGGGGGGACTCCTAACCTTTCTGGTCCTCGGATTCTGTGCATAATGAGTGGGAGTTGGACTTTAGAATTTAAAAAAAAAATTCCTTCTAAGTTAAAGATTCTGTAATTCCCTAGTTCATCCATTACCTACCAAAATTTGTTATAATATTTTCTTATTTACTGCTGTATAAGTTTACCACAACTGAACTAGCACCTTCCTGCAAAAGGACAATGGTGGGAATAGGTTAAAGAATACTGGGATAGACCCACCTTGATAAACAGGAGTGAAGCAATTTTGTTGCCAGCCCTGTGTCTATCTGGGAGTGAATGAGCTGCTGGTGTGAGTGGGGCACACACAAGCATTGGGAGCCAGTGAACACCATGCTCCCAAAGTCATTTATAAGATTGAGAGGAGCCTGCATACCTATAAGAATGCCACATTTAGTTGTTAATGACAACAGGATGAATAATAATAGTTAAGATACTCTATAGGCAATTATTAAATATACAGACCGTTAAGCAAATAACGTATCAAGTCACCAATTCTACTTACAATAAATGCCCTCCTCATCCCCATCTAAAGATCCACAGAAAACTGCTGTAAACTTATTCCAGCATTTGGGCCTGGACAACCCAGGGTAAAGGGAGGGACAGGGCAGAGTGATAGGTGGAAAGGCTTGCGTTTCCTAGAGAAAATTTTAAGGTGAATGAGAATAACTTTAGGGCTAGTGGCCCATGGTTGCAGCATCTGGGAAGGGGCAGCTAGAAAAGGAAGTAGGGTACCTGGGGATAGCACTAGGGTTGTCCAGGTTGGCTCCAGGAGGAACGAGAAGAGGTGGAGACTGGCTTTGATGATGGTCAGGAAAAGAGGGTTCTCTAGAAATGCAGCCTAGAGACTCGGAAATGGCCAAAATCTCTCTTAGAATGGTAATCTAGTGCCGAATACCTCAAGGTTAACAGGTGAAAGATTAATTTCCTAGTTACATTAAGCTATAATGAATATAATTCATGTGTTTTAAAGAAATGTAATACTGCTGTACCCTGAAAGAGTACTATATAGATTCATGGATTCAATAATATCATTAAAATGATATCAAAAAATGATTATGAACCTGTATATGTCTATACAAATGTATTACATTGTTGTTGTAATCCATAAAGATTACAGTCTTGGAAACCCTATGTGGGAGTTCTACTCTGTCCTACAGGGTCTCTATGAGTCAGAATTGACTTAACAGCAATGGGCTTGATTTTTTTGGTATAAGTACTATAGTATGTATAGTGAGAGAAATAAAACAACAAAAGATGTATTCTTTGCATTTTTCAGGTGGTGCCAATCTAGTTGGAAAATGAAACAAGAACACATGAATAAATTTGAAAATATTAAGGAGGAATATATTAGTAAGTGGGAAATATGTGCATGTATATAGTATATATACGTGTATATATGTTCATGTATGTATACAGTATGCATTATGCATATGTATGTGTGTCTGTGTGTGTGTATGCATATGATTAATCAGAAAGAGCTTTCTGAGAAGAATACATTTACAGCCAGATTTCTAAGGAGGCAAGGGACATAAACCGGAAAAGAGCAGTGGCTATTAATTTTTTTTTTAATTGTACTTTAGATGAAGGTTTACAGAATAAACTAGCTTCTCATTGTTAGTACATATATTGTTTTATGACATTGGTTACCAACCCCACGACATGTCAACACTCTCCCTTCTTGACCTTGGGTTGCCCATTACCAGCTTTCCTGTCCCCTCGTGCCTTCTAGTCCTTGCCCCTGGGCTGGTGTGCCTCTTTATTCTCATTTTGCTTTATGCGCCTGTCTAATCTTTGGATGAAGGGTGAACCCCAGGACTGACTTCATTACTGAGCTAAAAGCGTGTCTGGGGGCCATACTCCCGGGGTTTCTCCAGTCTTTTTCAGGCCAGTAAGTCTGGTCTTTTTTTGTGAGTTAGAATTTTGTTCTACATTTTTCTCCTGCTCTGTCCGGGACCCTCTGTTGTGATCCCTATCAGAGCAGTCGGTGGTGGTAGCCAGGCACCACCTAGTTGTACTGGACTCAGTCTGGTGGAGGCTGTGGTACTTGTGACCCATTAGTCCTTTGGACTAATCTTTCCTTGTGTCTTCAGTTTTCTTCATTCTCCCTTGCTCCAGACAGGGTGGGACCAGTAGAGTGAGTATCTTAGATGGCCACTCATAGGCTTTTAAGACCCCAGACCCTACTCACCAAAGTAGAATGTAGACTATTTTCTTTATAAACTATGTTATGCCAGTTGAGCTAGATGTTCCCCAGATCATGGTACCCAAAGCCCTCAGCCTAGTAATTTGGTCCCTCAGGGAGTTTGGATGTGTCTATCGAAGTTACATGACCTTGCCTTGGACAAGTTGTGCTGGCTTCCCCAGGCAACAGCTATGAATTTTGAAGGCACCAGCTTTATCCATAATAATTGTAATAGATATTATTTATTGACACATATTCAGTGACAAGCACTGGTCAAAGGGTTTCCATTTCAACTGATCTTCACAAACACCTGTGCTAGGTACTACTATCCATTTTTTTCAGATGAGAAAACTGAGACTCTGAACATTCACAAAGATAGTCAGGGGCAGAATTAGGATTCAAATCCAGGTCTGCTCGATTCTACAACTTGTGTTTCTATCTGTCTCACTCTCTGAAGCAGGAAAGCCAGACTGTGTGGATTAGTAGGACTTGAAGTTGGAGAAGTACAGGCAGCAGGTGATATCAAATCTTGAGTGGGACACTGAGGCTTGACACAATAGGCAATGGGGACCTTCTTCTGTGGGTGTTTTGAGGACAGTGGCTGATGGCTGTTTGAAAAGCTGTGTGTAGGACAAAGTAAATGGGGAGAACCACAACTGGAGGCCCATATGGTTAATGGCAGTGGATGTGGAAAGGAAGCCATGACTCTTTGAGACCTTTCGATGAACATTCAAAAGAAGTAGAAGCCATATTGGATAGAGGGAGTCAAGTAGAAGAATAACGAAATAAGGTTTCAAGTCTCAAGGATGGTATTGGGGAGCAGGACAGGGAGACTCTGGTACTTTTTAGACTAACAGAAATGTGGGAGCTGAGTTCATTTGGAAGGAAGATGGAGATTTCTCACTGGCTTAGCAACAAATCTCTCTCTTTTCTCTTTCAACCATCTTCAGATCTTTGGAAACACTGAAAATGAAAGGCTATTCTTGGTCTCTTTTCTGACACCTTTTTTCTTTGATAGTGCCATATGCAGGTAAGCAAAAGAATATAGATGTACAGTTACACATATATATGTACGTGTATAATATTATTCATATAACGAACAGCTTTCAACACAAGAAAGTATGTACATATGTTATCACCTGTATATACTGATGTCATATGTATACTGTTCTTTATACTGAGGGTGTGCTTAGATAAATTTCTGAAGAAAGTTCTCTCCATTTATTCATATTCATGTGGGTAGAGCCAGATTTCTTAGAAATTTGAAGAAGTTGTACCAGTGTTCCCAGAAACTCCTTATGGCTCTTCTTTTTACTATTCTCAGGTGTTGATATTAGGCTTTTGCAACTGGCATGGCTAGATTTTTTTCTACTAAAAAAAACAAAAACAAAAACTCTTTCTCCTATATTCAAGGACAATTCATTCAAATCTTGAGCTTCTGTCCCTGGATCAGAGGTCCACAAATTAATGTCATCTTAAAAATGTAAATAACTGAAAGGCTGAATTTAACACATAAAAGGATTTTACTGGCAGTTGCTGAAAACAGTGACATCCAGATAAAGCTACATTGCTTAATGATTGATTGATATGTGTATTTAATCCCTCAAGGCTGGGAAACTATGACTCATTAGGTTCTAGTCCATCCCAATATATACCGCAAAAACATTGTAACAGAAGATTACCAAGTGACTGTATTGAAAGAGGTGACTGATTTTTTTATTCCCAATGGGAGTGCCATTTAAAGCAATTACTGTTTCTTTTCCTCCAAGAGGTTTTAACCCCCAACGAGCCCCTCTTAATAGAAAGCCTCTTCTTCTCTCAATAGCTTTAGAAACTCTAAGACTGGGAGGCTGCTTTGCTTTCCCTGGGAACTTCCAGTCTTGAATGTTGTAATAAAATAAAGGGGACAGGGTGTATATGGCTTTAAGGTAAGAAGAGGGACTAATGCATTTTTAAGAAATCAAGCTTCAAGAGTAGCTTAAACTAATTTTTGAAGAAGAAAGGTAATAAAAGCAAATGCTTTTAAAATAATTTTATAAAGTATATTCTTTATACAACACTGGTCTACACATCAAAATGATGCAATTTGATTCCTGAAATACGTTTTCCAATTTTAAACACAACTTTTCCATACAATAGTTAACTTTGTTGCAAAGTGTTTTCCAACATTTTTGTAATGGAAATACCTATATTTTTATGAGAGGATAAAATCATTACTCTCAGTCTTTCTTTTCACTTTGTCTGTCATGAAATCAAACAATGTCAATGAACATTTAGTCATACTTGGTCTATTATAAGTTATTTACTCACCTCTCTTGAAAATTTCATAACGTATGGAAAATCCTGCGCCATGGGTCTCATAGTCAGAGACAAATCTGATAAAAAGAAACTGCCCTGAAGACACTACAGGAGAAGGAGCTATCTTTCCACAGAACTTTCCCCATAAGCGTCCGTTTGCATTGTCTCCATCGATGACTTCCACATAGTCATACCTAGCATAGAAACATAGTAAGAAAGCATTAAGTTGATGAGAAATGCCCTTTTAATTTCCATAATTTAGAAACCAGCATTAACCCGTATAGTCTGTCAGAAAAAAAAAAAAAAAAAAAAGTGCAATCTGCATTCACCACTGCCTTAAGTAAAGAAAAATCTAGCAAAATGAAATAATTAAAATGGACTACATGATGTCTGTATACATCATCTGGCAACACAGAACTACTAAGAATAATGGTGTCCATTATACTTGCAGACAATGTCAGTGAAAGTAACCAATTAACAAGAAAAAGAAAAATCTCATGAGCACAATTCTCTATTATTAAATTGTGTTCCTTTGTCTTTGGTGGTGGGGTGTCAATACATAATGCTATGCATTCTTTTCAAACTGTGAAGTTCTTTTATGAATTCAAAATGTCCCCTTGGCTGGAGATCTCCAAGAACAATACTTTGATTTCTGTGAGTGACCCTCTAAACATATGGCCACAGAATAATAAATAGATTCTTTACTATTTAACTCAATTCCACCAACTCCAGACTTCTTAGAAAAAACTCCCTCAGTATCCACATCCAATGATTAAAATACAGATCATCTTCCCCCAACCTACACTTGGATCATAGAATACAATTTACCCAAGGAAAAGAGTTTACTTAAAAATGGAAAGTAACTTTGTTTATACCCACCAGCCTGAATCTATAAAGGAATATCATTGCTTGAAAATGAAAAATTATACGCTTGAAATCACCAAGTGATGTGATATATATATAAAAATCAGGCTTAATAATGATATGCTAATGAGACACACGATAAAGCGACAATAAAATATTACTCTAAAGATCGCATTGAGATAATAGATATGTTCTGACCTTATTTGTCCCTAAATTGTGGAAAACACTGCCAATAATCTAGCATCCCCCAGGAAAATAGGAAGGCTTTGGTTTGTTTGGTATTCTCTATTTCTTATTCTCTTGCTCTTCCCTCTCTTTTTATTTTCCAAGTCACTAGGAGCCAGATAATCCGATTTGTCTGCCATTTTTCTTCTAGAACTGACATGAAAACATTACAATGCATTCATTTTAAATCTTTATTTTATTTCTCTCTTTAACTTGGTTCCAAAGTCCTGAGATATATTAATTTCAGAAATGGCTAAAATATGGCAGTAACATAAACTATATCTGGCAATTCAAAAGAGATCAAAGCAGGGGATATCTTCGTGATGACCAATGTCATCTTTAACAATCCCTTTTCAAACGGTCCAGGACACATTACTTATGTTTACTCGGAGTCTCACGAGACAACTGCAAAGATGATCTCACTAGTTAAAGCGGACAGCTTGAGGCTCTTTAAATTAAAAATGACATCACCTGATCAGTTAAAATTGTGTGCCAGCTTTGTGTATACCAAGAAGAAAACAAAGCTGACATTGATGGAACAAAGCATTAACATATGTGAATTATTGTATTAACTGCATTTCCTCGGCTGCATCTGATATTTCCAGTAGTAGTCACTTGGCCTCCTAGCATCACTGTCCCTATTCAAAACTATGGAAATACACAGAGGAATTGTGCATTTCTCAATACTTTGTGAGATGCTTTGCATGTTAAAAGAAGAAGAAGAAGGAGGAGGAGAAATAGCAGTAGAGAAGGAGGAGCAGGATGAAGAACGCATTATGTTCGAAATCCTAACTAGCCTTTTACATTCAACTGAGGGCAGCTGAAAAGAACACCATGGCTGTATTCATTAAAGCCTAAGAAGTTGGCATTTATGGAGTAATTCCTTTTATCTCAACTGCTTCTTTGACAAGACAGGTCTGCATGTTTTGCTCCACGCTTTCATATAATTTAGCTGTGATTTGAACTGTTGACTGTGTTTGGGCTGGCTACTGTGCATCTAGCACTGCCATATAGGCTCTTTATTTGGATCTTGATATGTTCTGAATACTAAGTGGTCAAATCCAAGCACATTCCGCCTTCCAACTACAAATAAGAGAGGTGGGTCAGGCACTTCAGAAGAACTGAGGGCATTCCAGCGAGGAGACCTTTCTCCCAGGTATTCCAGAACTCAGCTAATGGAGTGCCAGTGAATTGCAACGGAGAAAGCAGTCAGTATTTTAATTCACATATCCTCCAAGAGTAAATACTAGGATCTCCTCTTGGCAACAGTGAGAGCTATCCATAAAAGAGGGAGAGGGATTAGAATCCCTTCCCAGCAAGAGATAAGTCATTGCATCGTTAAGTGCCAATTCTAGAAGATTGAATTATTCAGGGGATGCAAGACCTTACATTTGTAAACTGGAATGCTGCTATCATTTTAGCACTTCCCTTCAAAGGCTCATCCAGTGGGACCCCAAAGACTATCATAAATAGCAGTTCTTGTAAATATTCAGGAGGGCGTACGTGCACTAGTTGCAAAGGGTAGCAATGCCAAAGAAGTTAAGACAGTAGCTTGCAACTCCCTCTGGAGTTGGTACCAGTTCCACTCCAGAAGTTTCTCACTGGCAAACCTGGTGCCAGGAATGCAGCTGGTGTGCCAGCATCCCTCTCCAGGGACTAAACGTGTCACCACGGCAACGCACCAAGCCTGCTTTGGCCTGAGGCCCAGGATACTGAGTTTGCAAATTTTGGTCCCTCAGCCGGCTGCACGTTGCTCTGTTACTGCTGCCAGTGTGGCAAACACTGCATTTCTGGGAATGTCATGAGTCCCCTAGCAGCGACAGTGCAGACATGCAAAGGTGAGAATGCAGGCGCTTGTTTGACTCTCGTTCTGAACCACGTGTTCCAGCTGTTACGGGAGAAGCAGGAATTGTGCCCCAGGAAGCGATTCCCTGAAAGCTAGAGGAGGGTCAGAGAGGTGACTTCTCAGTTTGGAGCCCTGTGGTTTGAAGGCCACCACCCAGCTCTGTAAAGAGAATGTTCTAGGTGACAAGGATGCTGTGTCTGAATCCAAAGAGTAGCACCCTTCTGCACGGGGCCTGGAACCAGGGTTGCTTCCTTTTCTTGCTCACAGCGCAAATACAGGTTCCATCTAAGGAAAGCCCCTCCCCCCTCACCCCACTGCCACCACTCATCCTCCCAAGAATTTAAATGGAATGTGAATTTTAAAAAAATATTCAGGGGACAACCAGCCTCTACTCCTTTTAGGCATCCTCCATTTCTTTTCTTAATGCTTTCCCTTTCTATATTAACAATGGAAAAGTGGGTATACACTTGCTGGAAAGTAATGCAAAGATCCCACCATCCGTCAGTTTGTTGTACTGCAGTGGCTTGTGTGTTGCTGTGATGCTGGAAGCTATGCCACGAGTATTTAACACACCATCAGGGTCACCGTGGTGGACAAGTTTCAGTGGAGTTTCCAGATTAAGACAGACTAGAAAGGCCAAGACATTGATTTCCAATAATTATTCAATGAAAACCTATGGATCATGATAGAATATTGTCGGACTTCCTTGCTTTGGACATGCCATCAGGAGGGATCAATCACTAGAGGAGGGCATCATGTTTGCTGAAGTAAAGGAATGACGTGGGCAGGGGAGACCCTCGATGAGATGGATTGGCACAGCGATGGACTCCAACATGCTGCAATTGTAAGGATAATGCAGGACCAGGCAGTGTCTTATTCCGTTCTACCTAAGGTCACCATAAGTAGGAGTTGACTCATGGACAGCTAAGAACAACAACAATGCAAAGATGTCTACCTAAGCCTTTTGCAGTTAAAAGGCATTCTCCAGCTGTTTCAATTTTAGTGCATAACAGGCTTGTGAAGGAGCCCTGGTAGAGCAGTGGTTAAGTGCTCAACTGCTAACCAAAAGGTCAGTGGTTCAAACCATCTAGCGGCACCTCAGGAGCAGGTGTGGCAGTCTGCTTCTGTAAAGATTTACAGCCTCAGAAACCCTCTGGGGCAGTTCTACTCTGTCCTATAGGGTCGCTATGAGTCGGGATCGACTCGTCAGCAATTGGTTTGGTTTGGTTTAATAGGTTCATGTGGGCCTTTTCACTTGTGTCCCTGGCTTTGAATCCAAACTCCTTAAGCTAAATGGTCATACGTTTTTATATCACAAAATGTCTTGCTTACATAGTCCCCCACCCTCACTCTACATAAGATATATGCGGGTGGTGAAACAATTTTGAATCTTAATAGTAATCACGAGTTAGGTTTCCCATAAGAATGATAAACGAATAAAGCTTTCCTTCTAAGAATTCTTGAAAGGATTACCCAGAGATTATTATTGTTTTTTCCTTTTGGAAAGTTTGAATTATGGGTTTAGGAAAATGGTCAAGTAGGCGAAAAAGTGATGGGAAAATGAGCAATGTATTCAGTCACTCCAGGGAGGTTTCAGAGGCTTTATAGGTATGCTGTGCTGAATAGACGGATAGCATACTTTACTTAAGTCGGGTTTTCTCTCATGAGTACAAATGACCCCTAACTCTCTATGGTGGAACCCGTAAATGGAACGGAAGTTAATCCTGTGTGGGGTGTTGTCTGATACAGTGAGTTACTGCACCAGCCCCTCAAGGCTCTGGACGTTCTTGCATTAGTAGGAAGGGCAATTCTAGGAGGTAGTGTCTTTTAATCTCCTTCTAAGAAGATCTACCCCCACGTGCATAAATACATTAATAACGGAGAAATCTGATACCTGACATCATAAACCAGAGTGAGAAATTTTGTTGGCTAGCATCATTTTCACCTGTAAAAATGTGTTTGCTTGACTCTTTGGTTTATTTTGCACAAGGCATTAATAGCTATCCCAACTGAACAACCTGCAAACGATTACTCTGCTGCCATCCAAGAATTACCTTACATATTCCTGACAAGAGAACAGATATATATTTTTTTCCCCCAGTGTATTAGAGAGAGGATTTGGAAATAAAAATGTACAGTGATGGAGCTAGGAGGGGCCAAATTGGTCCGCATTTGTGCTTCTGAGAATTTTTACATGCGATTCATCCCCAAACACTTCTAGCCTGCTTGCAACATTCTAACTGTGACGTATGAAAAGCC